GAAAGGAAAGGAAAGAAATGTTGGGGGGAGGGGAATGAAGGGGATAGAAGAGATGGATAGGAGGTGATGGGGTAGGAATGAGGAGTCATAGGCCTACTGGTGGGGTAGAAGTGTGGTATATGCATAGAGCTAAACTAGGGAGGCAACAATGCCATAAGCATGAAACCCAAACCACAACAATGCAAGTTTAAAACGGGCCCGTCAAAGGAGGCAGGCTGGGGTGAGTAAGAGGAAGCCTGGGAACAGTGATGGAAGGAAGTGGGTGTGGGACTGGCGTTGGAACACTGTACACCTGAAACTCAACTATGAATAACAATGCAAATCACAGTTCCCTAATATTAACATTTTAAACATAAAAAGTAAAACTTATAAGCCAAGAAGAGAAAGAATTCTTTGACTTCAGCATCCCAGATTCTAGCAAAAATGAAGAATCACAGGAAGGCTGATTAATCCCATGAAGCTTGGGGATTTCCACCCTGAAAGGAGCCCATTAAAGATGGTATCACTGGAGAACCTTTGGCCCGCCTATCACGTGGTAATGAGAAGGCCTTGAAAATTGGGCAGGCGGCTCACCATACTTGTTCACCCACAAGTGGAGTACTACCGCACATGGGCATGGACTCTGCCACTGATGGACTTCAGACCCTGATGTCAGGTTAGCAAGCATTCTAGCAGACAGCTCCATAAAAGACAGGCAAGACGTAATCCCTGCTCTAAACTGCTGGCACAGCAGAGAGTGGTCTGGATAAGAACAAAGAGGAAAGTGGTAGAACGGTAGTGTTGCAGATGCTCTAACAGAGCTGGAGCCTTGAGGAAATGAAGGGGAAGTTAATTTTTAAAATGACAGAAGGGTATATATAAAATAAAATGGGAAGAAGCAGCATCATTTCTAAGACACTGAAGTTTCATCTATTCTGGACTGGTGACGTTTATCTCAGAACTTCATGAGCTGACAGCCTAGGAATGCAGGAGATCAAACTGTCTACTTTGTACCTTGAACAGGGAGTGTTTGATGCCACACCCTGAGTCCTGACACCATGGAATAGAAAAATCACCTCTGCATCTGAAAGAGGGGACTGTGGGTCAGCAAACCAGCTTTACTGGATTGAAGAGGGGAGTGGGGCACTTGTTTCTCTTCCTTCCTAACACCAATTTACTTAACAATCCACCATATCACTTGCTCCTGCCTTCCAGCCATGAAGTATCAAAGGGCCCTTTTTAATAAGTGTTCTAACCAGTATTACACACTGTTGAATATTAGTAAGTTATCTCTTTTTTTTGTTTTTGTTCTTTTTGCCACACCAGCGGTACTCAGGGCTTACTCCTGACACTCTATTTAAGGCTCACTCCTGGCGGGGAGACTGTGTGGGAATCTAGGAATTGAATTCGGGTTGGCCACATGCAAGGCAAGTCCCCAACCCACTGTTCTATTGCTGTGGCCCCTAAGGTACCTTTCCTAATGGACCAAATACTGCTGTGTTTGTCCCCAAAATAAATAAAATTTATTAAGAGTTTGTAAAAAACAAGATTTAAAAAAAAAACTATGATTTTAAAGAGTAATATTTGATTATAAAGCTTTTACTTTTGAACTAGAAGAAAATCACTTGTGAATCTTACACTTTATCTTGTTTCCTTATATTTTATTCTTTCACATGAATACTGTCAAACACTTCTGGTTTTGTTTTCTGCAGTGTTGGGGGGACCCCAGTCACTGTGAAATTTGGTATTTTTTGAAGTTTTTTTTTTCTTCTTTAATTTTCAGGGCCATACCTGAAAGTGTTCAGGGCTTACTCCTGGATCTGCACTCAAAATATTCCTGGCAGTGCTCCAGGAACTGTATGCAGTGCTGGGGATATAACTAGGTCAGTCTTGTACAAAGCAAGTACCCTTATACTATCTCTTTGGCTCCTTCAGATATTTTTAAAGGAAAAACATCTCTCCCCTCACCCCCCAAAAAAATCATACTGGGGTCTAGAGAGAGTATAGTAAGCTCAAGTTCAAATTTTGATTTATACTTCAGGCTTGTTGATACCCCAAAATTGTCACTGTGCCTCTGGCCGGACCCCAGCAACTTGGGACCAAGTTTCACAAGAAATTAGACGTCAAAAGTTACGTATGTGGGAGTCACACCCACAGACCATGTCTGGCTCAACTACACAAGCCCATTTACCGGCCTTGTTTCAGAGACCCATAAATGAATCTCAAAAAACATCAAAATCAGGCCATTTAAGCGCATTAATGCCCATGATTCAGAGACTCAGAAATGAATCTCAGAGGAGGGCAGCACGCCACAGAGATGTCTCCCCACCCTGGGCCAGGCTGATGTCACCAGGGCAACATTGGAAGAGGGCAGGTTTGTCCCTCTGGCTGCCCCAAATGAACCCTGGGAGCCACAAACCTCCAGAACCCAGTCGCCGCCACACTCACAGCCGACCTTCACCGGCTCGTCCCGAGCCCCCCTCGCATGAAAATAAATCCACTAAAAGAACTCAGGTATGTGGTTTCCTGACAGATATGCCCATGAACTGCCTCTGGGCGCCATTTAAGCGCATGAAAGGTTATGATTCAGAGACTCAAAATGAATCTCAGAAGAGAGCAGCATGCCACAGAGATGTCTCCAGACCCCAAATATTAAAATAAAAAATTTAAGAATTCCAGGAGCGCAGGGCCGTGCAAGCAATACAAAATAAATTATTTAGCACCTGCCTAAGGGGCAGACTGAGGTGGTGGTGGGAAGATTCAAAGTGGTAGTGGTGGGAAGGTGCAAAGGTGCTGGAATTGGTGTTGAAATATTGAATGAAAACAGTTACTGTGAACAACGTTATGAAAATAAAATTTTAAAAAATTTTAAAAATTTTTAAAAAGTAATGCAGAGTCCATGCCTGCTTCAATCAGCTTAGTGGCTGAATAAGCAATACTCCTACATAAAAAAAAAAAAAGAAAACTAAAGAAAATAAAATTTCATGAGGGAGAGTTGAGTGATTAAGTACAGGAAGCAAAAAAAGAGAGAGAGAGAGAGAGAGAGAGAGAGATGTTTTCTGTACAGCCTGATTTAGTCACACACACATACACACACATACACACACACACACACAGACCTTATTTTAGAAGCTAGAGAGGTGTGGCGGGACACACTTACCCTTAGCCGATTTTGCCTTTGTAAGAAACGCCCTTCTGTGTTAGTGTGCCTCTGCATATTTCACCAGGTACCAAAGATGGGAGAGAAGAGATTACTCTGTGTGCCTCAATTTGCTTGTTTGCATCAAAAGCATTCTCTAACATCGTATCTACCAAAGATGCTCTGAAGACTATTAAAATTTTAAAAGGTAAAAGGTAAAGACCCTCCCGTTGTTCGTCGATTTGTTCGAGCAGCCCCAGTAACGTCTCCATTGGAGACTTTGTTGTTACTGTGTTTGGCATATCGAATACGCCATGGGGAGCTTGCCAGGCTCTGCCGTGCGGGTGAGATACTCTCGGTAGCTTGCCGGGCTCTCCGAGAGGGGCAGAGGAATCGAACTCGGGTCGACCATGTTGGCTGCGTGCAAGGCAAACGCCCTACCACTGTGCTATCGCTCCAGCCCCCATTAAAATTAAAATTTTGTGCAGGACTAATTCTAGAACATAGGGACAGGCCTATTAAAAAATAACTCTTATGTTCCCCAACTAAGAAGAAAAACAAGACATTGTCTATAAAGTAGCATTATGTATTTTCTTAATACTGGAAGAGTAGAATAATTAATAGTTTAAGGCTTACATAAATCTTTCCAACCTGATTCAGGAAAAGACTGAAAATTGGGGAGGTGGGGGTAAAGTCTTCAAAATATTCCCTATGTCAGGCAAGAGAGACAGTTCATTAGCTGGTGCGCATATTCTGCATACAGTAAACCAAGGATCCCAAGCATTGAGCCAAGAGTTGCCCCTGAGCACTGCAGGTATGACCCAAAATAAAATTAAAAAATAATTTCTCCTGGGGCTGGAGCAATAGCACAGCAGGTAGGGCATTTGCCTTGCATGCGGCCAACCTGGGTTCAATTCCCAGCATCCCATATGGTCCCCCGAGCACTGGCAGGAGAGATTCCTGAGCGCAAAGCCAGGAATAACCCCTGAGAATCACCGGGTGTGACCTAAAAAGCAAAAAAAAAAAAAAAATTTTCTCCTTAAAGGATATTTTTTTTTCATTTTTGCCTTTTTTATTGGTTACAAAGAGTATGTACTGGAGCAATAGCACAACGGGTAGGGCGTTTGCCTTGCATGCGGCCGACCCTGCTGACCCAGGTTCGATTCTTCTGCCCCTCTCAGAGATCCCGGCAAGCTACTCACCGGTATCTCACCGGTACGGCAAAGCCTGGCAAACTACCCGTGACATATTCAATATGCCAAACACAGAAACAAGTCTCACAATGTTACTGGGCCCGCTCAAGCAAGTCGATGAACAACAATCATCACAGTGACAGTGAGTGATATATAAATAAATATACATATAAAATCTTAGTGACAGAGAGATAGTACACTGCGTAGGGCACTTGCATTATATGCAGCCAACTCAGGTTCAATCCCCAGGAACCCCTATATGGTCCCCCAAGCTCTAACAGAGTGATCCCTGAGCGCAAAGCCAGGAGTAGGCCCTGTGTACCACCGGATATACACCTCCCCCCCCCCAAAAAAAAAAATACTCCTAATGATTGGGGTGGCAGAGAGATAGTACAGTTGGCAGGGCACTTGCCTTGCACACTGATGACCTGGGTTAAACCCCCCAGTACCACATATGATCCCAGATTCCCACCATAATCCCTGAGCACTAAGCACTGCCAGGTATGGCCTCAAAAACTGAAGAAAAAAAAGTCAGAAATTTTATTTGAATTTTAAAAATAAAAATTAATGAATATATTAATAGCAATAAAATAAATAATTTCAATAATTAATCACTTTTCACCTGCTAAACCTTACGGCACAAGGCTTTGTTCCCCACAACATGCTTTTCTCTTTTTTTCTCCCTTTTCAGATATTCTCCCCTATTTCATCTGGCTGCCAGAGACATACAAAATGCAGTGGAGTTTTTTCTCTTTGCACACTAGTGCAAACCAAAAAAGGAACAGCAAACTGTGCAACGTCTATTGGTGGATGCAAAAACATTTCTATTTTGATTTTTCTTTTTATTTCTATTTCTAGGGTACTCCTGGCTCAGGGGGTGCTTCAGGTAGTGTTCCAGGGACCATGTGGAACCAGAGACCAAACCTTGATCTCTAGGATACAGTGGACACTCCACCCAATGAGCTGCCTTTCTGCCCTCTTCTGAGCTTTCAGTCTCTGCTTCCCCTTCCAGCATCCCTTACACGTATCCTCTTTCTCCCACTCAGCGAAGATCCTGAGGCTCATCTCATCCTCCATGATTGCTGGTCATTAACACGCACATGGTAAGGATTTTTATTTGTCCTCTCAAGTCTAAAGTCTCTTAACTCTAAATTCGCATTTCTGCATAAATGGTGCACACTCCTTAAAATTAACAAATTCATAAATTTTATTTACCAACCTGCCTTCCCTTATGGACCTAGTCTTCAATTTTGATCTTTAAAAAAGCTTTCTCGGGGCTGGAGCGATAGCACAGCGGGTAGGGCGTTTGCCTTGCACACGGCCGACCCGGGTTCAATTCCCAGCATCCCATATGGTCCCCCCGAGCACTGCCAGGAGTAATTCCTGAGTGCAGAGCCAGGAGTAACCCCTGAGCATCTACAGGTGAGACCCAAAATGCAAAAATAATAATAATAATAATAAATAAATAAATAAAAAAGCTTTCTCTTTCACTTGGTCACGCTAAACTAACAAATCCAACTGCCTCTGCCTAACTTCTCAAATATCTAGAGGCCAAAACCACCCATAGTCTATTTCTGAAATTTCATCCTGACTCTTTCCATTTTCAGATCTAAGATGGATCCTAAGTATTTCTGACTAGAACTAAGAAGCCATACAAACAAGTACCCATTATATGTGATACAGAGTAAAACTACAGACTATGAGGATTAATAAAGCAAAGTTACTATCATCAAGGAAAGAAATCAAGGAGAGATGAAGAATGATAACATTCTGTGACGGGAACATTCAAAATTAAAGCAAACCCCACGAGACGTCAATCTCTTTCCTATCTAATCCAATCCTCCAACTATCTGAATTATTCTTCTAGAATACAAACCAGATCATATCATTCCTCTGTTATAAAACCAATGATTCCACAACACAGATTTTATTACATAAAGTACAAATTTAATACCATGTGAGCACTTCAGTCTGATCTGACCTACATAAAAGCATTATTTATTATTTTTCTTTCATTTCATGCTCCAGAACCGTCATAAATAAAAATACTTTCACAATCTCTAACGTCCATCCACTCTACTCCTGAGAGTATTTCTGCACCCACCAGAAGTCCTAACCTGTTTTCAATCAATACCTCTCCTAGAAGCTTTCATTCGCCTTCTCTGCCAGTATGTTTTTCAAAAGGAGCCATTATAATATTTAGCATTTCGTACTGCAATTTTTCTCTTCCTACTACTAGACTATGCGAATCTTAAGGATGAAAATTACATCTTCTTGTTCTCTGCATTCTTAAAGCTCTGAGAGACAGCAAATACTCAAGAAATGATTGTTAAATGAATGAGGGTTAAACACACTTGACTAATCTTTACTTCTGCTGCTGGTGGTGGTGCCGGTTCAAACCTAGGATCTCACTCGTACAAGAAAGGTGGTCTACCTCTAAGCTACACCCTTAGCCCCTAATTATTAATTTGTTATTATTTGATGGGAATCCAGAGAATAAAGTTATTCTAACACCTCACCACCACATACCTGAAGCCAATAAACCCAATTTCGTTTCCTTCCCTCTTGATATTCACCCACCTATCTATATCTCAGGCAACAGTAGTAAACAGAATCCCTCTCTGCAAAGGGCAAAGCAGGCCAAATAAATACATACAATAATTTCAGATAGTTGCACATAATAAAGAAATGTGGCTATAAAAAAAACAACATTTTTTTGGTTCCAGGCATGAAACCCAAAATATACACATGCATAAATATGAACTCTACCACTGAGCTATATCCTTGGTCTAGGACTGTTCTACCTTATACGTAGAAGAGAGGGGAAAAAAAAATCACAAAAAGTTTCTCTGAGAAGGCGAATACAACTTAAGGTTTGGAGGAAGAGAAGCAACCAACTAAGCAAGATTGGAGGGTGGGAGAATTCTGCAGATGGGAAGAACTTTAAGTGCAACAGTTCTGAAGCAGAAAATGCTCTTGGCAAAAGAGGAATCAGGCTAGCGAAAAGGTTAATTCTAGAGAAGCAAGCCAGACTTTATAGGCGGGATCATGGTGGAATCCTGTGGAAGACTGCATTCATTTTGTGGTTCATAACTGACTTCTTTTGTTGTGTAGTGTTTTCCTGACGCTCCCTGTGGGGATCTCAGAAGTAAAATTTTTTCACTGCTTTGGAAAAATTATTAGAAGTTGTAGCACTGCACTGTAGCACTGTTCTCCCATTGTTCATCGATTTGCTCGAGCGGGCCCAGTAAAGTCCCCATTTTGAGACTTGTTGTTACTGTATTTGGCATATCGAATGCATCATGGGTAGCTTGCCAGGCTTTGCCACGCAGGTTAGAAGTTGTATAGGCAATAATTATCTTATGCTCTTTCATTCACCTAAGGGCCAACCAACTTCTCTGAAAATAAATGGGCTCTTAATAAAATGCCACAGTCTTAATGGCTACTAAGAAAAAAGAAAAAATTGGCTTGAGTGATATCACAGGAGGTAAGGTCCTTGTCTTGTATGCGGTGAACCTGGGTTCAATTTGTGGCATCCCAGATGATCCTCAAAGCTCTGTCAGGTGAAATTCCTGAGCACAGAGCCAGGAGTTATCCCTGAGCATTGCTGGGTCTTGCAAGAAAACCATAAAAGTACAAAAGAACATAAAGAACAGTATAAAAATTGAGGGATCAACACTAACCAAAAAAAATTTTTTTTGCAGGCGGATAGTACAGTGTTTTCCTTGCATGAGACCAACCTGGGTTTGATCCCCAGTATCACATATGGTCCCTCAACCACTCCAGGAGGGTTTCCTGAGTACAGAGCCAGGAATGACCCCTGGGCATAACGGGGTGTATTCCCAAAATAAAATTTAAAAAAAAAATTAGCCTAAACAGAACTTCTTTATGTTCTGCAAGCTAAAGTTCAATTTCATATATTTTTGTTTTGTTTGGGGGCCACACTGGGTATTGCTCAGGAGTCACTCCTGGCTTTGTACACAGGAATCACTAATGGTGGGCTTGGGGGGGCCATGTGGGATGCCGAGGATCAAACCCATGTAAAAAGCAAGAGCCCTAACCACTGTACTATCACTCTGGCTCCCAATTCCATACAAATTATAAGCTCTTCTTTTTTCTTCCCTAGTCACTAAAATACCTATCTGATAAAGGGTTAGTATCCAACTGGCAGAACGTTACAAGAAAAAAAAAAACACCCAACCCCATCAAAAAAATGGGGAGAAGAAATGAACAGAAACTTCCTCAAAGAAATACAAATGGCCAAATGACACATGAAAAAAATGCTCTACATCACTCATCATTAGGGAGATGCAAATTAAAACAATGATTTCAGCATCTCACACCACAGAGACTGGCACACATCAAAAAGAAAATGAACAACCAATGCTGGCGTGGATTCGGGAAGAAAGGAATTCTTCACTGTTGGTGGGAATGCTGACTGGTCCAGCCTTTTTGGAAAACAATATGGGCATTCACCAAAAAGCTAGTAATTGAGCTTCCATACAACCCAGCAATACCACTTCTGGGAATATACCCTGGGGACCCAAAAACAGCAGAAATGCTATCTGCACTTCTATGTTCACTGCAGCACTATTCACAATAGCCAGAATCTGGAAACTACCTGAGTGCCCAAGAACAGTTGATGACTGGTTAAAATAACTGTAAAATGGAATACTACGTATTCTACATAGTATTTTACACATTGGAATATACTATGAAGCTGTAAAGAAAAATGAAGTTATGCCTCTTTCCCCCAGCTCTTTAGTTTTCCAGTAGCTTGGCAGTCACATCCACAAACTACCCCCTAGGACAGATAATCTCATCAACAGCCGAGATCCAGAGATTCTCAAATAAAGCTCCCAGAAGAGAGAGACATACACCTTACCCATGAGTGACTCTGCTCTCTAATTATATTCTAAATTTCAGAATTCCTGGAGCCGCAAATGCAACTACGTGACCTTTCAAACTCTAGCCCACTAATATATCGGAAGTAGCGCACATCTGTTTGGAGTTAACATACATGCTTGTAACCTCTTATACAAAGGCTTAAATGGCTCCAGTATGAAACACAACAATCTTCACACACTTTGCTCATGGTGGTGGGAAGTGCACGGTGGTGGGATTGGTGTTTGAATATTAAATGCAATGAGTCACTGTGAACAATTTTATAAAAATAAAATTAAATTAAAAAAAGAAAAATGAAGTTATGAAATTCACTTATAAATAGATAACATGGAGAGTATCATGCTGAGTGAAATGAATCAGAAGGAGAGGGATAGACATAGAATAACTGAACTCATTTGTAGGATACAAAAAAAACACAAAAACCATATAGTATGAAATTAATACCCAAGGATAGTAGAAACAAGAGCCAGGAGGACTGATCCACGGTTAGAAGTCTGCCTCAAGTGCTGAGAAAGAAAGCAGTTGGGATAGAGAAGGGACCACTATGACAAAGATAGTTTGAAATGATCCCTCAGCATGCTGGAAACTGGTAAAGGAACAAACATGATAACCTCTCAGTGTCTGTATTACAAACCATAATGCCTAAAAGAGGTAAGGGAGAGGGAGAGAGGGAGGGAAGGACAGAGAGAGAAAATGAGAGAGAGAAAATGAGAGAGAGAAAATGAGAGAGAGAGAGAGAGAGAGAGAGAGAGAGAGAGAGAGAGAGAGAAAGGCAGAGGAGACAGAGAGAGAGGGAGAGACAGAGACAGAGACAGAGACAGACAGAGAAGAAAAGTGCCTGCCATAGTGACAGGCTAGGTAGGATGGCGGGAGGGAACCTGGGGACACTGGTAGTGGGGAACGTACACTGGTGGAGGGTTGGGTGTTAGAACACTGTGTAACTGAAACCCGACCATCAACAGCTGTGTAGCTCTGTATCTCACGGTAATTCAATTTTAAAAAAATAGTATATAAATAGTTGTTGAAAGAAATAGTTAAGTGGGTAGGGCATTTGCTTTGCAGGTGGCCAATCCAGGTTCAATCCCTGGCATCCCATATGGTCTCCTGAGCACTGCCAGGAGTAATTCCTGAGCACAGTGCCAGAAGTAACCCCTAAGCACCACTAGGTATGGCCCAGAAAACAAACAGAAAGTATATAAATAGCCAAGTCACTTTATGTACCGTCTTCCCAATTTCCCGTGTTCAAACTGTCTGATTTGTCATCTCACTCAAAAATTTATATGTGACTTTATTTGGGAGTGGTGGGCTGGATGTCTGGACTACATCCTTTTGGTTCAGAAGTTACTCCCAATTTGATGCTCAGATTTTTTTCTGGACACCATGTGGTACAGGTACGGGTACAGGGGTCAAACCTGAATATTCTGCATGAAAACATTCACTCTGTCCATTGAGCTATCTAACCCAAATATTCACACTTGTAGTAAAAATCTAGTATCTTAATTTTCTCATTATCTACATGTAGACTGCACTACATGATAAACTGTCAGAATTGGAGGCCAGGACAATAACATAATGGGTAGGGTGCTTGCCTTGCACTAGGCAAACCCGGGTTCAATCCCTGGTACCCCAGATAGTGCCCCAAACCCGCCAGGAGTGATCCCGGGGCACAGAGTCAGAAGTAAGCCCTGAGCACAGTTAGGTGTGTTCCAAAACCCAATAATAATAATAATAATAACAACAATAAAATTAATTCTCAGAATTGGTAGGGAAATTTAAAGTCTTTTACCTATAAAGAGAGAATATAACTTTCCAAGATATTTTGTAACAGACAATAGCTATAATTCCCCTCACAAATCTTTAAATTCTTCCTCGAGAAATTTCTCAAGGGTTCTAAATATAGTCCAGCTTGCCAGGGTCATTCCAGATAGTCCAGATAGTTCCCAAGCACTGCCAGAAGTGATCCCTAAACCCAAAGCCAGGAGTAAGCCCTGAGCAAAGCCAGGTATGGGCCACAAACAAACAAACAGAAGAGAGGAATTTCTCAGAGCCAGAGAGACAGTGCAGGAGTAAAGGTACTTACATGCTCAGCATGTGGTTGGCCCTGGTTCAAATTCTAGCACCAGAAAATATTCCTCAAGAATCACCAGGAATCATTCCTGAGCAGAGCTATGCATGTTCAGGAAGTCCCTGAAGTATACAGATCAGGTGCTATCCAAACCATGCACCCACCCACCCTTTCAAAATAGAAGTTTATCCAAATTACAAATCTGTCTTGAAATACATCAGAGCTTGTTAGACAGCAGTTGTTGTTATTTGAAGTCACCAATATAATCACGTTCTTACCTAATCTGAGTTCTCCGAAGTTCCCACACCCTATCTTCTTGCCAACCCTGAAGTTGGGTCCCACCATAAGAACCCCAGAGGATGATGATGAGCCCGATGGTCGAGAACAATGTGCACTCCTCTGTGCCAGGGGTTTAGCTGTCCGTTGCCGTTCATCCTTTTCCCTACTAGGATGGTCCATGATCTTACTCGACAGTCAGTACAAGCAGTCTCAGTGTGTATACTTCTCTTCAATATAAAAGTATAGTCAAATAAAATGTAGTCAGAGAAAGATAAGTTCTTCTTTGGGTACCATATTTATGTTCTAATATATCTCCAGGAGATGAAAAACCATTGATTAGTTCTTGGAGTTTGTAGATTTCATGCATAGGAGGATAGTTTGTAACCTAGGTAAAAGTCAAGAAAACATACAGTTAAAAGTTAAAATTATTAAATAAATTGAGAGTTAGTACTAGTAAGAATAGATCCTATCCAAAAACAAGCAAAGTGGATGGCTCCATGATACGAGATTTGGTTTTATATCTTCCAAGAGTTTAACCCTGGGGCCAGAGAGACAGCATACCAGGTGTGGCCCAAACACCACCCAAAAAGAAAAGGAACCAAAAAACCAGAGTAATGAGACACCTGACCTGGATTAGATCCACAGCACCCCTGATGGTCCCAAGGAACCAGCCAGAAGTGCCCTGCCAGGAGAGCTCAGAGTAAGCCCGAAGCACTCCAAGTGCAGCCCAAAACAAAATAATAATAATAGCCCAACAATTTAACCTTTCGTAACAGTAATTCAACAGGCTGGATACCAGGTATGAAAAGGGAACACAAAATATGCTTTTTCTAGTAGTGTCCATATGATCCAAGAGAAAGCTATTTGTTGACTTGATGTTGTTATTGTTGTTGTTGTTGTTGTTGTTACTGGATAACAAAGATGATGGCAAGATTAAGACAATTTTTTTAAAAGGAGGACAATTTAATTAAAAGTTCTCTTTTTAAAAACATTGTAATAATCCTATCAGAAAGGTTACTCCCTGCCTCCCCTCAATCTTCACCCACTGACCAAGCACTGAGAACAGTCAGACAATCTGAAACAAATCACTGCCTGCAGCCTATTTCTCCTACTTCTTCCCTTGGAGTGTGTGTGAGGTGATGGGCACTGCTGGTGCTTGAGGGGTACTCTTAGTTCTATGCCGGGGGGGGGGGCATGTGGTGCCAAGGATTGGGTCTTATGCACGTAAAATCTGTGATCTGCCCTTTAGGCTACATTTCCAGCAGGACATTTCTATGAGAAACTTTTTTTTTCTTTTTGGGTCACACCCAGCGATGCTCAGGGGTTACTCCTGGCTCTGCACTTAGGAATTATTCCTGGTGGTGCTGGGGAACCATATGGGATGCTGGGAATTGAACCCAGGTCAGACGCATGCAAGGCAAACACCCTACCCGCTGAGATACTTTTTGAAATACTAAAGGTACTAATTTAAAAGATTAAATGCCTGAAAAGATCCTTCACAAAACCCAAATTTAAAAAAAAAAACACCCTGAGGAACAAAATAACATGAAACCCTCAAACCTCCAATATACTAATTCAGGAATGAACCTAAGACAAAAGTTTACAATGAGATTACTATGACGATTTTTTTTTATAATCCAACATTTTTTTAATTTTTGCCATGCTGGATGATAGAAATACACAGTCTCAAGTATATTTTTATCATCAACCACATGCAAAATTATGTATCACTTTCATTAGAGTATTTCTTGTTCTGTTTTGGCAGTGCCAGTGATCAAATCCAGGGCCTCACACATATAAGGCAAGTGGCTCTACCACTGGGCTATGTTCCCAGCCCCTCTTTCAAGAAGAGAATCAGAAGAGCTGGAGAGGCAACTCAGCATTGTAGCACCTGTCTTGCAAGGATGAAGGCCTGGGTTCAATTCCCAGCACTGCCTCCCCTATCCCCACCCCGCAAAAAGCAAAGTTAGAACTGGTTGGCTAGTACTGCATGTACACAACAAAGCAAAATTGTTAAGACTCGAAGACCCTTTAACTGACTAATATAGGACCAGGGACAGTCTATGTTTGCTCCATTAACACAGTTAAAATATCCTTTATTTTCTTTGTATTATTAAAACACTGGGGCCAGAGCGATAGTACAGCGGGTATGTCATTTGCCTTGCACAGAGCCGACTCAGGCTTGATCCCTGGCAACCCATATGGTCTCCCGAGCGCCACCAGGAGTGATTCTTGTGTAACAGTATGCTTCTACAAAGCCTACCATCTTTCTTTTCTTTTTTTATTTCAGGGGGCGGGGCTATAATCTGCTGCACTCAAGGATCACTCCAGAGGGGCTCAGGGGTGCTAGGCAGCAAACCAGGCCGTGTGCAAGGCAAGTGCTCTACACCATGTACGATTCCTTCAGTCCTGCCTAATGGCATTATGATTGGACCTATCATCAAAAGAAGATTAAGTTGATCATCAATAAATTACATTTCCCTGAGTTCAGGAAACAATATTTGAATTATATATAGTGTCTATTAAGGGGGGGGGTGATGAGCAAAAAAGTAATATAGGGTTTTAGACATTTGCCCTGCATGCTGCCTGCCCTAGTATAGTTATCTAAGCACCATTAAGAATCACTCCAGAGCAGAGCCAGTAGAAGCCCTTGAGCACCACCAGGTATAGCCCTGACAATACCCAAAAAGAAAAGAAACCCAGAATCAGAGTAATGAGACATTGACAATTACTGAATTTTCTACAAGAATGTTATGAATTTATATCTTTATTCATTCTTTTTCATTGCCAACTGTACCGAATGCCTTCCCTATTATTACTGGCTATTTGGTATCTAATGTTCTTCAAATAGTATCAGAAAGAAAAGTGGGGGGAAGATATTTAGATAGTCTGATCTGAATTGGTAGGTGCTTAGACTAGGAATAATTGTCAGGCTCTACTTTTTACCCATATGGTTTGTTTAGAGGATAGGAAAAAGGTGTCTTAACTTATCCAGGCAGTATCTATATATACACATGCAGTAAATGTTACAAAAACATACAGTACCTGCTGGTTTTCAAACCTGTGCAGAGAACACCAATAAACACGTGCACCAGACGTGTGTAAAATGCACAACAGCAACTAAGTTTTAACATGAAATTTCATGTGCTAAGAGCGTTTCCAAAATCAGTATTCAGTATATTATTTCTGTTGATAGGTAAATTCTTCATTAAACTTAGACATTTAACAACCAGAACGTGCAGTTGGGATAGGAGGATCTTTTGGTTTTGGTTTTTTAGCTACTCCAAGCTCAGTGGTCAGCAGTCACTCTCAGTGGTGCTTGGGGACCATGAGGTGCTGCACAATGAACCTGCATCTCCCACATGCAAAGCATGCACTCATCCCATCAGGCTTTCTCTCCAACATGGAAAGGGTGTTTCTAACACTTGTAGGCAAAACAAACACACACTTTATCAGGCTTGAGCTAAAGGGTATTTCCCTTGCTCACGGTCAACATGGATTTGATTGTTGCATCCCATATGGTCAGTCTTCTGAGTCCACCAAGAGTGATCCCTGAGCAAAGAGCCTGGAGTAAGTCCTGAGCACTACCAGGTAGGCCCAAAAAGCCAAAACAAATACAAAACAGACGTTACTTATTCTTCCACTAACACAGCAAAAATTCTCATTTAAGATGTATATTTTCTAATCAATGCGTGGCACATGGCACAGTCTATTCAATTCTGAGGACCAGAATGATAGTACATCGGATAAGATACTTGCTTGCCCTGCACACAAGGAGAGCTGGGTTCATTCCTCAGCACCCTATATGCTCCTCTGAGCACTGCCTGGAGTGATTCCTGAGTGCAGAGCCAAGAGTAAGCCCTGAGCACCACTGCATGTGCGCCCCTCCCCCCCGATTAATAAATAAATAAATAAATAAATAATGCTGCGATAGGTGCTGGTGCTCAATCATACTGTGAGTAAGACACTTGCTTTGCTTTATAAGCGGCAGACCCAGGTTCAATCCCTGGCCCTCCATATGGTCCCCTGAGCCCACCAGGAGTTATCCGTGAGCCACGAGAAAGCGAAAGCCGTATGGCTCAAAATAAAAACAAAGAAGCAAACAAAAAGTAATGTTCCTTTTTCTGGTGAATGAAAAATCTCATTCTATACTCATGACTACAGGCAGCCATCCATAACATATACTAAAAATATAAGCAGTTGTGAAGTTACTATTTGAATTCTGAGTCATAACCACTGTCTCAACTCTGTTTTCAATTCTTCTTTTTTCCTTTTTTTTTATTTGGGGGGCAGGGGATAGAGCAGTGGAGGTTTGACCTCCCGTGGTGGTGTTTGGGGACTACTCCTGAGGGCATGCAGAAGCCAAATATGAAGCTGCCATCAAATACAGGAGTAAAGAAAGCACTCCAGTGCTTTGAGCTATCTATCCACCCAATTCTAGTCGTTTTCTTTCTTTTTTGAAAAATAACACAGGAATACCTGAATTAGAGGAACGATGAGTTTTACGACCACAAAATTTTGTAATTATGCAGTTTAAGAAACTGGTTTCACCCATTCCACACAGCATCATTCTACACTACAGCCCCACTCAGTTACTTAATAAAAGTAACTGTTTAAGGGGGCCGAGAGACAGTACAGCAGGCAGGGTGCTTTACTTGCACACGGACGATCTGGACTCAATCCCCAGTATCCCATATGATCACCTGGGCCCCACCAGGAATGAGCCCTGAGCAGAGAGCAGCAGTAAATCCTGAACACTGCCAGGCTTACTGTGGCCTTAAGTAAGAAAAAAATTTTAACATGCCTTCTAAACTGGACCAAGATATGTTATATCTGTTTACATTTATGTCTATGCCTAATCTGTTATAGAAATTCTGGCGGATTAAAGAATTACTGCTATTTTCAGCAATATTCAGTAAAAAGATTTCCATAATAGACCTGGCTGTCCTCCCCAGGGTTAATAAATTTTATAATCCAGGCCCAAGGATTTACCATTGCTCATTTCTGCTATTTCCTTATTTTGCCTCTATATTCCATAGGTCATCCATGGTGAGATCATTTTACTCATCTATATTCCACAGATGAGTGAGATAATTTATTCTTCTCTCATTTAACATGATGCTCTCCAGTTCCATTCAGGGTTGCAGCCAAGTGAACAGTTTCCTCTTTTCCTACAGCTGCATTGTATCCTATCACGTATACAGACCACAACTTCTTGATCCATTCATCCACCACTGGATATCTGGTTTGTTTACATATCCTGGGTATTGTACTACATATTACAACGAAATAGATGCACATATAACTTTATGTATTTATGTTCAGTGTTCTGGTGGAAGGTACCAGGAAGTGGAATCACTGTGGGGGGTGGGAGGGGTGGAAGGG